CAAGAGAACATGGACACAGAACTTGGCTGGAGATTGTGGCTAGAGATCCTAGCAAGGCTGCTGATTAACTGAACGCTGTCTCCGTGTCATTCCTTCTTCACTGACTCCGTCCACACCTTTGGGGACCCCTGGACCTGCTGGGGCTGGACCCCAGCAGTTAAAGAGAGAAAAATTAAACCCAGTTGTGCACATCTGAAGAAAAAGATGATAACAATTTAAATTTGTGTTCAACTAAATTGATTAATTATTCTAATAAATTGTATATCAACAGTAATTATATCTTGTAGTATGTCATTTTAAACATACTTTCCAAGATTTTTAGTGACATGAAAAACTTGAATGAATATTAAATTAATGAAGAAAATGTAATCCTAAAAGTTTAATTGCTGAGCATAATCGTCAGCTTGTGTCTTTTTACTTCTTACCTTTATGTGCTGGAGAGCAGCTATATCTTTGGGTCATGTTAATGAGTGAGTTCATTTTTGACACTTTAGATAGCTGTGCAAGAGAAAGCAGGGACTCAAGTAGACATTTGTACACCTATATTCAGAGCAACAGTGTTCACAACAGCTTAGAGACAGAAGCAACTCAAATGCCTACCAAGGGGCAAACGGATACATGAAATGTGGTGGATACAGACAATGGAATATTATTCAGCCTTAAAAGGGAAGAAAATTCTGCAATATGCTATAACGTGAATGAACCTTGAAGACAAACACTGTATGAGTCCACTTATATGAGGGACCTACCGTAGTCAAATCACAGAGGTAGGAAGTAGAACTGGGGAGATGGGAGAATGGGAGCTAGTGTTTAATGGGCCCAGAGTTTCAACTGGGGGAGAAGAAGGGTTTCTGGAGATGGGTGGTGATGATTGCACAACAATGTGAATTACTTAATATCACTGAAATGGTAAGTTTTACGTTAGGTGTATTTTATCACTTTTTTCTTTAAAGTTGTGCAAGGGACACGTGTGACTGCAGAAAGTCGTGTTAGGTGTCCTTGTGAGCTCTGCTAGTCTGCTGAAACGCTTGTATAATCTCAATTACTTACCCCCAGTTCATTCTGGGGTTAATTACTTTGGTTAAAAGTTGTAGTCACTACGGGTGTTTGAGACTAGACTAGGAATGTTAGGGACAGAGAAATCCACTGTGTCTGCAAGGAAAATGGGCTGTTTTTTGTCTTGAAGAGATAAAGGAAGTGGTTTTTGTCTTAACGAGTCCGGTTATTCCAGAACATGAAAAAATATAAAGGCCACACCCTGAATGGATAGAGTCATAGGTTTACTGAACGGGAGTCTTTCTGCCTTGATTTATGATACCTGAGTCTGAAAATTAGCTATGAAATATGTTAACATTTTGCCAAATTTGCCTCAGTTTTGATGGGTTTAAAATAAAATAAGTCCTAGCTGGTTTGGCTCAGTGGATAGAGCATCGGCCTGCAGACTGAAGGGTCCCGGGTTCGATTCGGTCAAGGGCACATGCTCTTGTGGGCTCCATCCCCAGTAGGGAGCACGCAGGAAGCAATCGATCAATGATTCTCTCTCACCATTGATGTTTCTATCTCTCTCCCTCTTCTTTCCTCTCAGAAATCAATAAAAATATATTATAAATAAATAAATAACAAAACTTGTGAAACTCCCTTGTGCAAAACTAGAATTGGGCTCCATCTCTATTAAAATTATAAATTGAGCCCCTAGCGAGGGTTAGAAAGAGGTTACTATTTATCTTCTGTGTAAGTTGCCCAGATAACTGATTCCGCTTCTCTGCAGAAAAATCCCCTCTGCTATGTTTGGCTTTATCATATTCTATTTTTTAAAAAACAAGAACCTAAGGTACCTCTCTTACGAAAGAGCCCAACACCCTTGCAATTGTGTCACCTTCTTCTATGTTTATTCCAAAAGATGGTATTTTCTCGTCACTTTGATTAAATAGGTAACCAAGTAGTCCTATTTCTCAGGCTCCCATGAGCCTGCCTTAAACTAGTGGCCACATTTCTCTGATAGCTTTTTTGATTTTGCCTTCCAATAGCAGATCCTACATTTAGAAAAAAAGAAACTTCAGGATATCTTTCCATACATTTATTAAATACTTCTCCACTCTTCTAAGAGCATGATGGGCAAGAAATAACGAGTGTTGGTGAGGTCGTGGGGAAAGGAAACCCTTGTGCAGGCATGGTGGGGACATAATTGGTGCAGCCACTATGGAAAACAATAGAGAGGTCCCTCAAAAACTGAAACTAGAGCTCGGCCAGGTGGCTCAGTTGGTTGGAGCATCGTCCCATATATCAAAAGAGTGCAGGTTCGATTCCGGGTCAGGGCACATACCTAGGTTTTTGTTCGATGCCCAGTCAGGGTGCATGTGGCAGGCAAACCATTGCTGTTTCTCTCTCACATCAATGTTTCTCAATCTCTCTCTCTCTCTCTCTCTCTCTCTCTCTCTCTCTCTCTCATCAATAAACATATCCTCGAGTGAGGATTAAAAACAAAAATCTATTCAAAAATTTAAAAAATAGAACTACCATATGATCCAGCAATTCCACTGCTGGGTATTTATCTGAAGAAAATAAAAACTTTAATTCGAAAAGATAAATGCTCCCTGTGTTCACTGCAGCATTGTCTACAGCAGCCAAGACACGGTACAACCCAAGCGCCCCTCATGGGCGAATGGACGGAGAAGATGTGGTGTACTGTATATGTATATATTTAAAATTTTAAGTTCATTAAGATTAATTAATACAATTGTGTTTAACACCTGCTTCTAAAAGATAAGCTGATCATGATCAATAAAAAATATTGTAATCTTTGTTGCCTGTAGAAGAACATGAAAACTGAGGCTTTAACCTGTAACAAAATCTGGTATTAAACGTGGCTTGGGTGCAAAACAGAAGAGCATTGTAGGAAGAACAACTCAGAAGAGATGGTGGCCTTTCCTGGGCTGTTTATGGAGGTAAATGCCACTAACACAACTATTTCAGAAGTTCATGCTGTACCGGAAGGCCATGGAGATTGTTCAACGCCGTTGCTACCTCAGGGGAAATGCTGGTCAGCCCTTATGCATAGCTCTGTCCCCAGTAGAGAGCTTGGCTCTCGTCCACTCTGATGTTATTAGTTCCTGTAACAGATAACCACAGCCGCCCCGGCTCCCTCCTAAGTAAGCTTGTGTGTTGCCTGGCTCAGTGAACAACTGTAGCCACAGTCTGTGCTCCCCCAGGACAGACCTGAAGCTGCGGGGAGGGACTGCGCCCACAGTCTGTGCTCCCCCAGGACAGACCTGAAGCTGGGGGAGGGACTGCGCCCACAGTCTCTGCTCCCCCAGGACAGACCCGAAGCTGGGGGGAGGGACTGCGCCCGGTTCTCCGAGCCACGGGAGCTCCTCTGGGGGCAGGACGCAGAGCCACCGCCCTTCAGCCTGAGCCCAGCAGCGCCTGGCTCTCCAAGGTCCCCCAGAACAAGAACCAGTTCCACGGAACCGAGTGAAGGGTCCAGGGAAATCTGGTCATGGTATTTTTTTTATGGATCTATGAACTGTCTTCTGGAGCTGTCTCTAACCTTCAGTTTAGTAGATGATGGCTTTTATAAACTGAAATTAAACTTATTAAATGGTATCTGAATCTCACGGGCCCCTCATTTAGAAACCAGTGCTTTTACTTTCCACACAACATCGTCCTTCACACAGGTGCAGTAAGAATCTGTCCTCCTTTGGCGGAGCTACATTAGATTAATCAGTTGCATAACTGTCGTGTCATATTGCAGGGTGATTGGCATCCAATCAGGTGTGACAAGTCCACAAGCCCTCCTAGGAGCCAGGTGATAAGGAAGGCCATTCTGGGCAGGAGGGGGGCCCTAGAAAAGTTGGGGACCCCAAGAAGAAAGCCCCTCACATTGATAGAGGCTGCAGGTGAAAGCTGGTGGAAAGAGAGTCTGGGTTGGTTTCTTGGCCTTAGGAGGGACATCGGGTGGCCAGCTGCAGTCCGGAAAGGGCCACATCCGTGGTACCCGCCAGCCCCGGGCAAACTGGGGCAGCTGGTCACGCTGGACAGCAGAGCCACGAACAGAGGCTGTAAAAGCCTGAAACTTGGGAATGAGGGAGACAGCGCATGGTACAGACCAGAGGAATGCACTTCGCTCATCTCATTGTTTACCTTTCACTCCACGTCCCAGACTTCTGGTTACTTGTTAACTTGTAGGTTTTTGTCCAGGAGAGATGGAATCATCCTGCCTAGCAGACAGATGTCCCCAAAGATTGATGGCTGTGGGACAGGAGTCATTTTTAAAACTGAACTCAGCAATTTTATCATAACGCTCCTCTGTCAAATTGCCTATAAATATCGCAAAAATCAAAAGAGCTCCTCAAGCCCTAACCGGTTTGGCTCAGTGGATAGAGCGTCGGCCTGCGGACTGAAGGGTCCCAAGTTCGATTCCGGTCAAGGGCATGTACCTTGGCTGCGGGCACATCCCAAGTAGCGGGTGTGCAAGAGGCAGCTGTTCGATGTTTCTCTCTCATTGATGTTTCTCACTCTCTATCCCTCTCCCTTCCTCTCTGTAAAAAATCAAATATATATATATATATTTTAAAAATCTGTCCATCTGGTCTAAGACTCCTCACCGGGACACATGACCATGGGTGACCTTATGTTTCATTCAAGTTTCCGATCATCGACAAGGTTTGATTTCCAGGCCTCTAAGCTAGACTTCCCTGCTCAGTGGGCCTAAAGTTATATCATTTGCAATTTAGTTCTTTGGCTTAAAGTCCTTCCCTTTGTCAAAATGTAAATGTTTCTGAAAGAGGGTAACACACGGAGCCTTATCAGTCGTTTACACATTAGTATAAACAAATTCCTACCCTTTTCTG